GTGCCTCCAGCCCTGCCGTGCAGGGAGTCGGGAGTGGGACGGGGATGCACCAACACACCTGCAGTGCTGGTGGCCCTGAGCTCATGCCCACGAGTGTTGCTCTGTCCTCATGGCATTGCAGCCCCAGTTCTGCCCATTACAGCATCCCATCCTCACAGCATTTCATCCCCAGTCCTACCCGCCTCCACCCAGCCCAGGCTCCTACCTCCAGCTCCTTGAAGAAGATGCAGCTCCGTGCCCACTCCACGATGGAGAAGAGGGTCTGGTCGGCCATCTTGCACATGAGGCCGAAGGTGCTGAGCTTCTCATGCCGGCCTTTGCCTTGCTCTTGCTGCAGGCAGGCCAGGATCCGTGCCTTCACGTGGGCCTCGTCCGGCTCCAGCTGCAGCAGCTTCAGGATGACCTCGGGGATGTCGGGAGGGGAGCTGTTGGGGTAGGTCTCTGGGTACACGTAGGCGGGAACGGACTCGTGCGCGTTTGTGTAGTGGTCCGGGTACTCGGACTTGATGGTGCGGTTGGGGAAGGAGGGATAGTGGTAGCCGGCGAGCGGCACGTGGCTGGGCACAGTCATTCCCAGGGAGGGTGTCCCGTAGGGGCTGCGCTCGTAGTCGACGGGCGTCAGGGCAGCGGGGTTGGGCGGCAAGGTCTTGGACATGGCGTGGATGCTGTGGATGGTGGAGGACAGGCTGTAGTCGTTCTGCACTGGGGACATGATCTGAGGCACGGTCTCCAGCTTGAAGCCGTTGGCACGGATCAGAGCTTTCTTCTGCTGCTTTAAGGCACGGTCCCGCTTGTACATGGGTCCAAACTTGTTCCTCCCTCCACGCATCCGGTCGGCACGCACGGCTGGGGACAGAGAGAGGGCAGAGGCTGCAGTGAACCCATGCAGAGGGAGATCAGCACTTCCACACGGCATGGAGAAAATAATGGGGGGGATTTGGTGGCCAAACAGGGCTGGGGGACACTGGGAAGATCTTCCCAGAAAGCCACCGGCAGGACTGTGTCACTCCCAGCCCAGCTGTACACACCAGGGATGTGACATGGCAGGTACCAGTGCCTGGTCCCAGCTCTTGCCTTGCTGGTGTCACCTTCAGAGCCTCTGGGAATTGCAGGAAAGGAAAAGACATTCGGCTTTAACCATGAAACAGGCTGGGGGATAAAGCAGCTGGCATCCCTCATGGGTTCAGAGTCAGCCTGTGGAGCCTGGGCAGACAAGGGGGCTCAACACCCACTTTCTTTTTTATGGCCCCCGACTGTGGACCAGCCCTGGGATTTCCTTGTTTCTGCAGAGCCTGGGACCCCACAGCCTGCTCAGGACCCTGGTTCACCCGCATCCAGGCTGCACAGGCTTCTTTTCTGCCCATCTTGTGGGTGGCAAGGCTGGCAGGTCCCTCTGGGCACAACACACACCATGGCAGGGCTGAGCCAGGTTTCAGGCAGGAGCCTGCCCGTCCGTGCCAGGTATCAGCTCTGGCCGGGGGCTCTGCTAGAGCATCCCACTGGCAGAGTCACTCTGACAGACCCATCGCAACCTCCCGGCTGCAGCAAAGCAGATGTTCCCTCTGAACCCCCAAATCCGAACCCCCAAAGAAACCCAAGAACGTGTCAGGGCGTGAAGGAGCAGGTGCTTCTCTGCAGCCGGAGCTCGTCCCTCCACACTGCCCCGCTGTGCTCCTGGGGGCTGCGGCCCCAGCCCACCCTTGGAAGAGCCTCAGCTCGCTGGGAGCTGGACG